GTATTTTTTTTTAGTAGAGACGGGGTTTCACTGTGTTATTAGCCAGGATGGTCTTGATCTCCTGACCTCGTGATCTGCCCGTCTTGGCCTCCCAAAGTGGTGGGATTACAGGCTTGAGCCACCGCTCCCGGCCCAATTTTTGTATTTTTAGTAGAGGCAGGGTTTTACCATGTTGGTCAGGCTATTCTCAAACACCTTATCTCAAATGATCCATGTGCCTCAGCCTCCCAAAGTGCTGGGAGTACAGGCGTGAGCCACCATGCCCGGCATGGAAACACATTTTCTATCTAAAAAAAGTTAGCATTAGGTTGGAGAAAACTTTCATTCTCTGGAAGATTCTCTCAGGCCCCAGTGATGGTATGAGACCTCTTGGCGTGAGGGCTGCCATCTTTTCTGTGAGGCCGGCCTGTAGCCTCAGAGTGTCCAGCTGCAGCACCCCATGGTCACATCCATCTTGGTCCCGGATGACCACCTTCCAGTTGTAGCCACAGCTCCCAGCTGTAGCACGGGGCGATGATGAGCACGGGAGAACGCAGTCTTGGCTGCTTTGAAGCTGAAAGGAAGCCACACCACAGGGCAGCTGAAGGGCCTGCCCGGCCCAGCACGTAGGGGACCTGCCAAGTACCGCCTTCCGCCACTTGCTTTGCCCCGGACGGCAAGCCCTTGAGCACAGAGGCCATGCGCTGCTCAGCTTAGTGGCTTTGCCTCACCCTGTCCACAAGGGGTTTGCCTTAAAGGCCTATTGACTGAGTGAAGATGAACGTGTCAGGCTTCGAGGGCTCAGGAGAGGACGAACGACTTGGAAAGAAAGTCGTTCCTGACCGGGACTGGGGGCTGCTTCTTTGGGAGCCCGGAGCTGTTGCGGCCACCTCGCTCTTCCCCGTGAGGTTTCTGATGGTGGCTCTAACCCGGCCGAGGAGAAAGACCTGGAAAATGCAAGTGTCCAGGAAAGCAAACTGCCCAGGGTGGCTGCTCCCTGCTGGGTTCTGGCCATGGACGGGAGGGTCCCTTCGGAGGTCAGGCCCTGACGCTGCAGCCCCCTGACCCCACAGGCACTGCCTCCCTCCGGGATCCACATCTTCGCCTCTCAGCTCCACACACACCTGACCGGGAGAAAGGTGGTCACGGTGCTGGCCCGGGACGGCCGGGAGTGGGAGATCGTGAATCAGGACAATCACTACAGCCCTCACTTCCAGGTAGGAGCCTGTGCCCCACCCCCGCCCCAC